TAGGTTTCATTTTTAGAAGGTACACACTACATTTTTATTTTGAAAACTTTTCAGATTAGTTTTACAGCTATATCAGGAAATGAATTATTGTTTGGTTATGTCATTTCCCAAAGGTAATTGAAGCAGATATTTATGAAGTCACTGGGAGGTGAACTATCTCCAGTTCAACAGGTTAATCATTAATGTTTGGAGGATTTTCTTGCCATGCTGTATTAGGAGGAGAACAACATCAGACAGACATTTAAATTGTTTTATTTAACTAAAACAACAATGTTATGTATTCTGGATTTTTTTCTTCAACAGCAAACATATAATATTTTAACAAAACAAGCATATGAATTTTTGAATTTAGCTAAACATTCAAGTTTTTTAAAATCAGGTTTGTTTTTGTTAAAATTGTTTTTAACTAAAATAGTTAAATGAAATATATATTTTTTTAAAACAAAAATTAAATCGACTATGTCAGCCAGGTCAACATGAGAAACTTAATATTAATATTGTCTTCTGCAGCTAACTCAGTCGTCTTCAACTTCATTTTCCTGTTTGTTCATAATCTGGAAAAGAAAAACAAGCTTTCCTGCTTTTTCAGGTCCCAAATGATTTCTCAATTTGGAATGAATTAGTCCAAAGGAAGAAAACATTCTTTCAACACCGGCAGAAGAAGCTACTGCTGTTAAAAGTGAGATTATCACTTCAACAGTCTCTGAATCCAAGTGATTAAGTGACTTCCACCAGTTCACTGGTGTGACATTCTTTAAAACATCATGAGCAAACATATATTTCTTGAATGGTTCTTATTCCCAAACTGGGTCTCTGTTACGTCCCGCTGCCATTATAGGTTTTCCCATCTAGTGAGAGAATGGTATGGTAGATCTCAAATCAATGAAGGCTACACTCAGAAAGACTTCAAGACTTCTGGAATATGCTGCTCAACAGTTTCACTTTTGTTTCTACTACCTGTCCCTCCCTTCTCACGTTTATCTCCAGACTTCTTCTCCTTTTCCAGATCTGTTCCGCCCCCAACAATCTTCTATTCATTCAACTTTTTGAAACTTTGCACTTTTAGAGAGAGGTAAGGGATTGACTCTGTGTACACAAATTTGCAGAGGGACAATAGGGCTGAGGTCTGTTATTTCTCACCTCTATATATTATTTATTTATTTGTTTAAAAACATTTTTGCTGTTAATAAGCATGTTATCTCTGGAGAGACAAATCCACAGTTTGAGAACTGCAAAACTAAGCATCTCTGATGGTATCCTCTAGACTGAGCACTGAGTCCCATTGGGTAGATAGAAAGATTAACCTAAATAATCTATACAGAAGCCCCTGGAACCCCATAAAACTGGGTCCCCTAATCCATGAATGATTGGAACTCATTAAAAAAACTTTTCTTAAACATTACATGAATACATTGTCTCATACTATAGAATTAGAATTTATAATCCCTATTCCATGATGAGATATCTTAGAGCTATAATGTATCTTAATTAAAACTATGTTTAGATAGTTTTTTTTTCCTCAAAAATAATTTTATAAAATAAAATCTGATTTAAATAAAAAAATCCTAATTTTTTTATTTAAAAAAAATTGATTTTTATCCCCCCTGGACTTGAATTACTTTGATTAAATCAGTCCAACATGGATATGACCATGGGTCTAACTATTTCCAAACAGTTGAACCTCTCTGGCTTGAGGCATACTGGAGTACAGATATGTATATTTTTACTATTCCAGCTGTATAATCACTGGGTAACTGATAGAGTGGATATCCGTATATAGAAGTTAGGGAGGTCTTTGCATCCTACTCATTGAGGAATTGAAGTAAAACATTCCAGCGGCAACTGTTGGTCTGTGCATATCCATCTACCAGTGCCATAAAAGATCAAAATCATTTGAAAGCAAGGAAAGTTCCCCCATGTCTATCTCCAGAAGCACAGGATCCAAGAAAGAGACTCAAATCAAATGATATGTTCAGAGATGCTGATTTACTGGTAGGTAATTTTCATATATGAGGAAAATAAGCCAGACCAGGTTAGAATTGCCCAAGACCAAGGCTGCAGATGGAGGCAATATCAGAAAGAGGGTTCGAACTCACGAGTCACTAGCTCCAGAAATTGTATTCCGACCATTAGCTTGCATTTTTTCTCATCCTGAGTATGTGGCCTTAGGCAAATGACTTAACCTCACTGTACCTGTTTTCCCATCCCCACCTACTTGACAGGGGTGTTTTGTGGATTTCTTAATGAATATTTGTACAAATACTTCAAAGATAAAGAAATATACAAGTGTTAACTATTTTATTTCTCTCTTTAATGCCATAATTTAATTTTTTAATCATGCTATTATTTTTGTAGTTGGTTGATAAAACCATATAGTCTTAATCTGCACCATTATTTTTGTGGTGATCATCATGCAATTGAGGGCCAAGTTTCAATCTTTCTTGTTGTATACTCTGGTGCTTTCCTGTTCTAAGCTCCATTTCATTTCTGTAACACAGGCCAATAGGACCCACATTTTTATTCTTCCAGACCTCATTGAAATAAAATAAGTCCTAAACCTAGAAATTTAAAGCTGACTTTCATTGAAAAATTTGCTCACCAATAATAATAACCTGTCATTTTATAGGGCTCTACATCTTCCAAGTGCTTTACAAACATTAACTTAGGTTGCAGAGCACTCAAACTAGGCCTTTCAGTTTACAGCATTACTTCATGTAACAATTTCTGTTGTTCCAAATCTTTGTTTGCTTTCACATAATTTTCTGCTGTGTTCCTTTGGAGAGCGTTAATGAGTATTTGTGTTCTTTTGTTATAGGATTATGCTATAGAAGATGAGCTCCGATTGTTATTGGTATCTTTACCTCAGACTGATCTTGAGCAATGTGTCCAGTACTTCACATCTCTGGCTTTAAGAGAAAGCAGTCAGACTCTAGCTGCACAAAGGGTGAGCTCTTAACTCCAGGATGGATTTATGCAGAATGTTCTCTCTTTTAAAATATGTATTTATTTAAGGTATAATTTTATAATATTAGAGTGGGTGAAGCTTTCCCTTTCCACACCCCATGGTGCTTCTGCTCCACTAGGACTGAGACTCTTTGTGGGGTTATGCAAAGATGAGGGAGAGCTTGTTCCCTCCTCCCTTCCTGTTTTCACAACTGTACAGGTCTAACTACCATCTGATCCTTGTGGTTTACGCTCTCAGGCATGTTGTTGTAAAAATGAGATATGGGGCAGGGAATGGTATTGTATTAATACAAATAAAAAACCTACAGTGTTTCCCCCCTTTATTATACTTTCTGTAGTTAGTAGGTTCTCCTTTGAGTGAGTCTGCACATATACATTTCACTGTAGGTTAGGGTTGCCGACTGTCTAATCAGACAAACCCAAACACCCTTGCCACGCCCTGTCCTGCCCCTTCCCTGAGGCCCCACCCTTCTCAGAGGCCCCACCCCATCCCCCCCCATCTCCCCCGGTGCTTGCTGTCTCCCACCCTTACTTTCACTGGGCTGGGGCAGGGGATTGGGGTGCAGGAGGGGGGGCAAGCTCTGGGAGCAAGTTTGGGTGCTGGAGGGGGTTCAGGGCTGGGGCAGGGGATTGGAGTGTGGGGGGGTGAGGGGTGTGGGCTCTGGAAGGGAGTTTGGGTGCAGGAGGGGGCTCTGGACTGGGGCAGGGGGTTAGAGTGTGGGAGGGGGTTTGGGGTGCAGGAGGGGGTGTGGGGTGCTGGCTCCGGGAGGGGGCTCAGGGCTGGAGTAGAGGGTTGGGGTGCGGGAGGGGGTCTGGGCTCTGGCTGGGCGGCACTTACCTCGGGAGGCTCCCGGTCAGCGGTGCAGCGGGGCTAAGGCAGGGTCCCTGCCTGCCATGGCCCCGCGCTGCTCCTGAAAGCGGCCAGCACGTCCCTGCAGACCCTGTGGGGTGGGCCAGGGGGTTCAGCGCGCTGCCTCTGCCTGCAGGTATCTCCCCTGCAACTCCCATTAGCCACAATTCCAGCCAATGGGAGCGCGGAGTTGGTGCTTGGGGCGGGGGCAGTGTGCGGAGCCCCCCTGGCCTTCCCTACCCCTAGGTGCCGCATGGACATGCTGGCTGCTTTGGGGAACAGCACAGGGCCAGGTCAGACAGGGAGCCTGCCTTAGCCCCGCTGCACCGCCGGACTTTTAGTGGCCTAAAATCTCCCAATTTGGCTTCAGTAGCCTCCAGGAGATAGAGCCCAATTTCGGGAGACTCCCGGCGAAACTGGGAGGGTTAGCAACCCCACTGTGTGCCCAGTGCACTGAAGTTGGAGATCTTGCCAGCAGTGTCACTAGGCGTCGTTAGTGCTTGTGTGCTGAGCTGAGGGCATAAAAGGGGTGTGTCTGTTGCCTCCCTCTCAGTTCTTTCTCGCTTCCCATGGTGGGAGTTGGAGCTCCCTGTTGCTCTTTAACTTCCATTCACCAGCTTAAAAAAATTACTGTATATGATTGTATAGTATTAGCTTAGTCTTAGTGTAAGTTAGTATACAAGCCTTTTTCCAGACATATGCCAGTTCTCAAACCTCCCGAGATGATGTCAGCTTTGGCAAGTTGGTATTCCAGTCTCTTTTCAAATAATCTGAAGTCCAACCACCTGTAAGGAATCTGCTGGTGAGTCACCTACAGAGTAATGTATATGTGCACAATCACTCAAGGGAGAAAAAACATAAGTGTTGGAACTAGGGATGTGGGGGTGCTGCAGCACCCCCTGGCTTGAAGTGGTTCCCATCATATACAGGGTTTACAGTTTGGTTCAATGGCTCTCAGCATCCCCACTATAAAAATTGTTCCAGCACCCCTGGTTACTTACCCGTACAGGAACTGTTGCTCTTTGAGATGTGTTGTGCACATATACATTCCATGACCCTCCCACCTTTCTTGCTACTTAGGTCTTTAGACAGACAGTGGAGAGAAGAAATGGAAAGGGGGGCAATGGACATGCCCCTTCTATGCTCTCAGTTTAGTGCATGAGAAGAGCAGGGGAGCCTAGTGGTACTGTTTGCAAAAGTCTCTGGCTCAAGTGGATTGAGCGTACAGACACCCACAGTGGGATGTATATGTGCACAATGCATATTGAAGAACAACAGTTACTGTACAGGTAAGTGACTGTTTTCTGTAAAAGCTACTGATCTAATGGGCTGTTTTATTTTTTTCCTTTATAAATATTAGAATATTTCAGAACATATAGGGATATATTAATGTAATATACATAAGAGCACTTGGTATAACAGCTTTACAGGCTGTTGCACGCTTCACTTTAAAAAAAAAATAACTAGAACCACTCCTCTTATTTAGCCATTTGAGATTTGAGTTGATTGTTATTGATTCTTATTCCAGGGGGGCTTGTGGTGTTTTGGAGGAAATGGGCTTCCTTATTGCGAGACTTTGAGTAAAGTCCCTTCAGAGACAGTAGAACTCTTCTGTTTACAAGCTTTAGTGCAACATTCAAAGGTAATCCATGTATACAGCTATAATTGAACAGCTGTATTGATAAACTTTCCTTTCTGATCTTGCATTTTGCATGTGTGGGATGCGGGGGGAAGCTGCCTTCACAACCTTCCCAATATCGTTTCCTCCCCCAAACCACTGAGGTGCTGTTCACAGGATTGGAATCCATGTATGAGCGGGGGTGGAGTGGGAAGTTTGTGGGGACTGTCCACAGGATCTATGATTGTCTCCCACTACAACCACGGATATTCTCCTTCAGTGATGGAGATCCCTTTTAAGGAGTTCCCTCGGGCATCTATGGCAAAGAGTGGGGGGAGTGTGCGTGGGGTAGCATGGATCTTCCAGTGTTGGTAGCAGGCCCTTCAATTGATTTCGCAGTGAGGCACACCCAGGGAATAGTCAGGGATAAACTTTATGAGGAGGCCCTTGTGAAGTATTCCTCTACTACTTTGTTGTTGTTCCATCTTCTGACGCCAGTGCCTCTACCCTGCATAGTGGTAACAGCTATCCAAGGCTGTACATGTCAACTCCTCAATGGAGGACATATCAGTTATGTGGAGTCTGGATATATTCTAAGAATAACTTGTTTTATTTACACACGCACATCAATCCTGGAACGGAGATGGTCATATAGGCAGTCCCTTCTTTCAGGAATATCAGCGCTTGTCTACACAACAAAGCATGCCGGAGGAGTAAAGCGCACTAACGCTTGATGTGTTCTAAAAGCTACTTAGTTTGCATGACTGTAGCAGGGCCTACATGGGGCAATTAGAGTGCTTAACAAATCACACCCCTCTAGTGCATTTTGCTGGTGCCCTGTAGACAAGCCCTCAATCTAAGACTAAGGTGGACTTTCCAGAGAGCAACTCTGTATTATGAATTAACTCTGATCAGAGACCAAGGCAGAGAGCAAACTCTCCTACTGCTCGCACTGCAGCTCTTCCTCCCAAGGATCATTGCTTCTACACAGAATCTTGCATAATAAAAACTAACAACAATACAGCATGTCTTCCCAACATCGAACATTTACTTGCACACTAAGAAAAAGAAAGTGGAAGACTATGTGTAACAGCGTCACCTGGTGACACTTGCCATAACAATATTAATTGCACAAGAAAGACTGCAGGTAGAACATAGCTAAAATCAGAAGCTGAATAAATACATATTGAAAAAAATCCACTAAGCTAAATTTATGGTAGGGAAGGGCAAAGAGCACAGTACTCAGCCATAGCACAGTATTCAACACTATAATAGAAACTTTCATGTCACCAGCATCCAGGGGTGAAAGTAACTTAAAGGACTTACCGGTACTCTGGAGTCCTTAGGAGAGTGCGGGTCCTCATCCGGAAGAGGCGTGGCCTTTAAATCCCCCAGTGCTTTAAATAAGTATTTAAAGGGCCATGGGCTGGGGCTGTGGTAGCAGCAGCTGGGAGTCCCGGGCCCTTTAAATTACCCTCGGAGCTACCAGCTGCAGAGATGGCTGGGAGCCCCAGGGGTGATTTAAAGGGCTTGGGGCTCCAGCTGCCACTACCGCAGCGGAGCCCCGGGCACTTTAAATCACCATTGGAGGGGGCTCCGGGCTGCCGCCGCTACCCCGGGCCCCAGCCTCGGGTGGAGCTTTAAAGGGACCGGGGCTGCACTGCAGTAGCGGCAGCCGGGAGCCCCTGGCCCTTTAAATCACTGCCAGAGCCCTGCCGCCGCTACCCCAGGGATCCAGCAGCGGGACTCGGGTGGCGATTTAAAGGGCCCCAGAGGTAGTGGCAGTGGGAGCCCTGGGCCCTTTAAATCGCCATCCGACCTGCGCTGCCGGGGCCCTGGGGTAGCAGCAGCAGCCGGGGGCTATGGCGGTGATTTAAAGGGCCTGGGGCTCCAGCTGCTGCTACCGCCCTGGGCCCTTTAAATTGTCCCCGGAGCCCTGCTGCTGGAGCCCTGGGGTAGCGGTGGCGGGGCTGCGGCAGCAAGTTAAAGGGCCTGGGGCAGTAGTGGCAGCTGAGCCCCGGGCCTTTTAAATTGCCGCTGGAGCCCCGCTGGCCCTACCCCAGGGCTCTGGCAGGCTCCGTGGACGATTTAAAGGGCCTGGGGCGGTAGTGGCTACTTAAGTGCTGGACCCTTTAAATCGTCCCCAGAACCCTGCTGCCGGAGCCCTGGGGAGGTGGCGGCGGGGCTCCGGCGACTATTTTAAGGGCCGGGGCGGTAGTGGCTGCTGGAGCCCCGGACCCTTTAAATAGCCACCAGAGCCCCGCCGCCGCTACCCCAGGGCTCCGGGGACAATTTAAAGGGCCTGGGGCAGTAGCTACGGCAGGTACCCCGGGGCCTTTAAATCACCGCCTGAGCCCCACCGCCTCTTCCCCAGGACTCCGGCAGCAGGGCTCTGGCGGCAATTTAAAGGGCCCGGGGCTCCAGCAGCCGCTACCGCCCCGGCCCTTTAAATTGCCGCAGGGGAAGCCGATCCACACCGGTACCTGCTTGCTTTCACCTCTGCCAGCATCTATTCAACAGCAGTGGTCCACAGTATGGCTCATAAATGTGCAGTCATTTGCCTACATTGGTTTCTGTTGCTGCCATGAAGATCTGTAATGACAGAAGCACTGTTTAGAATGATGTTACCTTTTTGAATGAAAAAGGATTATAAGAGAGTGTTCTAGCGAGTAGGTGTGCAGAATAAGTGGCCCCAGCTTACACAGTGCTTTAGAAAAAGTGGGCAGTTGTGTTATGGAGAATTGTGGTCTTAGGATCTGATCCTGCAAGGTGTCAAGCATCCTCAGGTCCCATTAACTTCAGTGGGAGAAAACTGGAAGTGTTCAGCCCCTTCCCAATATTGGGCTGTCAAGTTGGAATGATTGTGCAGTTCGCATGCTAAAATTTTTGACTCCATTTCTGAGTTCGTGGCATTCAATAAAAATAAGTATTTCATAGTTCTTATAATTTCTTAAATTGTTAAACTGAAAGATTTAAGCATAACATAAAAACAAATCCTAGATTAAGTAACAATTTCTGCATATGATGTGGATATAGTACTTAGTAGCTTTAATGGAGACTATGTACAGAGAGCTTCTCAGGAAACTTTTGCAGATTTGGATGTTTGCACGACTTCCACTTAGTATCACTGAATTTACTGTAAAATGCTAGGTTTCTACTCATTGTGATAAAATTGAAGCAAATGGAGGTCTTCAGCTACTACAGAGGATATACCAGCTTCGTAACGATTCTGCGAAAATACAAAGGAACATAATTCGCATCATTGGAAACATGGCTTTGGATGAACGTCTTCATTCATCCATAGTACGTGCAGGTAAAAAGAAAGCAAACATAAGCAATCTTGATGCAATATTTATATTCTAAATTTGTAAGTTAATTTATTACTTTTGTAAAATACACAGGATCAATAGTGCTGGAGGCAGAAGTCCTATTCATTTACAGGCCAAAGCAGCATAGTCGGTGTTACTGCAAACTTGCCTCATCCCTACAGTCAGAGTCATTATAAATCATTGATGAAGGTTCAGAATTTGGGCTTAGTTCAGCTAAACATCAGAATTGGGATGTTTTTATGAATCTCTTGGTGTTCCTCCTCACAAACTCTATCTACCCAATAGTTCCTAGATTTCCTTACTGGCTGTGATTTCTTCTTGTAAGGAGGCCAAGTAGGTCTGTTCCTCTGCCGTCTGGAGTGAACAGGCTAGTCCATCAATTTCCTCATTTTGAAGTAGATCTAGTAACTTCTACCTGGTCTTGCTGCTCTGCCTCTTTTAACAGGCTGTCTTTGGAGTTTGTGCCCCAGCATGCACCTGGGGATTGTGGAATTCTTTATGTTGTGAAATCCTTCCTTCTGTTTCTGTGAGAATCCCTGCTCAATCCCTGAGACTGGAGGAAGAGATTGTTAGAGAACAGATATTCACAATCCTTTAATGCTCTCTGCTGTATACATTTCAAAGGATGTACTAATTTTTAAAGAGAACTCCATAGAAGAGCTACTGGGTCTTGGCAGTCCAGAAATGGGAAGAAGACTACTTGTTTGTCCCCATAAAATGCTTACCAGGGTGGATAAGAGAAAAGGGCCTGTGAAGCCAGTAATTCTGTCTTCCCATGTTAGGACTGCCAGCACAGGAAGAAGAGGAAAGAGAATGGTAGAAGAGGTATTGGCTCATATTGGGCTCTCTGAGGGGGTGTGGGTATCCTTAGCTCAATGTTTTTTGACCCTTCAGAAAGGTTCAGTTTAAGTGATATTTTAAACAAACTATTTTTGCCATTTTTTGCTATTATAATACAGAGAAGTGGAAAAAGATGATTTGATAATGTTCTCTTAAGGACTTTCATTTTACACAAACCTTTGAAATATATCCTACTTCTAAAATCAATTTACATTCCTATGTGTCTTTCATAATTTTCTTGTAATTTTTATTAATTCTGAAAGGTATTTGTTTTCAAACAGGTGACGTATGCAGTTCATCTATTCCTTTTCCTTATTTCTGCTGTCAATTACTAATCCTGAACCTGTGACATTTCAGTCATACTTTGTCTTTCTTTCTCCTTTCTTCTCTCTGCCCATCAGATGTTGGAGGTCTCTTATTCTACTGGGCTACTGGGGAGGTGCCATTTCTTTTCTCTATCTTTCTCACATCTTGACTGCTTGAGGGATTTGGGGATTTACTCCCTTGCTCCTTTCCCCCTCCCTCTTCCGTTTGGGTGATGGGAGGAATTGAAGGGGGGTACACACTCATCTTCTTGAGAGAGAGAGTGCTCTGATCACCAGTTGGAGTCAGAGATTAATTGCGTACCACATCAATGTGGAATATTTTTGGCACAGTTCAGTGCATTACACAGGTGCTACCATCCAGCACTGGCTACAGTCTGAGGCAAGATACCTGGATTGAAATATGGTTTGTTCTAGCATTGCAGTTCTTATGCTCCTACAATTATTTTGGCAAACATCATTTTAAATGAGAAAAGCCATTCTGCAATCATAGTTCAGATAATAGTTTCTTAGTAATTAACAGCCAATGAGAGATGTGTTTTGTTTTATTTTTAAACTAGGTTGGGTTTCCATACTAGCTGAAGCAATGAAGTCTCCTCATGTCATTCAGTCTTCACATGCATCCAGAGCCCTGGCTAATCTGGACAGAGAGACAGTGCAGGAAAAGTATCCAGATGGTGTATATGTTTTACATCCACAGTACCGTAGCAGGTAAAGAGGAGGGTCCTTACTCTACCACATGTTACTTCTTTTATTATTCACTTACAAAAAACTTTGTAAAGGTGGAGTTAAAGTTGCTGCTGCCCAACAGTGCTGTCTGCTGTGCCTGTCCTTCTGGAATGTAGGACTTCAGCATCTTAAACTCAAATGTTAAGGCACTGGGAAGTACTCGGTGAAAGTCTTGTCATATCTCCCTGAAAAGAATGTGAGTGTTACAAGGAAAAACAAACACAAATTTACAAAAATTGGTATATGCGCATTTAAGGTATTGCTTCACATGCAACTCAGCCCTGTTGGGATGCCAGCACCATGTGGATAATTGTTTTTTTGAAAGCAAGGAATATTTGGCAAAAATGCAGGAAACTAATTGTAGGAAATCCCCTAGAGTATTGTTAGTAAAACAATTAATTGTGCTTGTGCAGTTGGAAACAAGGAGAAGCAGGTGTCAACTAGCAGCAACTACTCCTTATATTAATGCCATTGCACAGGCCACATGGAAGGTTCTGTTGGATTGTATGAATAGAAATCCTGATTTAGAATTGTAGTGGGCAAAGAGACTGGCATTTTTTATTACAGAGGATAAGGTACTATGATGTTCATTTCCTACTACCGTCCCTATGGGGGCATAGTTAAGATGGTGCTGTGTCTGAAGCAGCATCTTAAAGGTGCGCTTCGTTTTTCAGTTGCTCTAGCAAAATTTGTAGGGATTTTACTGTCTCCAAGCATACCAGTAAAATACTCTTTGGCCCACTTGGTGAACAGCTCCTTTTGGGTGTCTGAAGGGACAGATACCCTCTGACACCTTGATAGTGGCAAAATCTATTACAGTGCCTCAGTGTAGTACCAAGGATACCTCTATCCTTCAGTTTCTTGGTATTGGCTGGGTGTAAATTGGAGTTAGCAAAGGGAAACTTTCTTATAGCAGCAGTGAGATTCAGCAATGAGCCTAAGGGTACTTCCCTCGTTGGTTATGGGTTCCTCCCTCATTTAATATTCCTGCATGTGTCTTGCAGGGTAAGTGGTATTGCCGTGGGGTTTAGGTTCCCCTTCCCTCCCTCTGTTTCTTAGTAAATCACACAATTGCATTACTCACAGTGTTCCAGCATGGTGAACATTCCATGGGAATTTCACTGTTCCTTTGGATGCAGCATGAAGGGAATGGTGTTGGTTCAGTTTTCCAGCCATTTTATAAGTTGAAAATGTATCTGTTTGTGATCCATTGATGTGCCACTAGCCTCTTATACCTCTAATAGCAGCAGTCCTACTGCAGACAGCTTGGATGCATTTAATGTTATCCTGTATGGACCACTTGAACTCCCTCCCTTTTCCCTAGCCCACTGTATTCTGTGTGGTTCCTCAGTTTACATTTTATTGTGTATACTACGTGTGATGATCTCCGTAACGTAGATATATTGTGCAGGTTTTATTTTTTAAAAAGCACTTTGGGATGGTTCAGGATGAAATGACTTATGTAAATGTTAATTTTAATGTATTAAAATATGTATCCTACTTTTTAAAATTCTTTCCAATATCAGTCAGCCCATTAAAGCAGACGTCCTTTTTATTCATGGTCTTTTGGGAGCAGCATTTAAAACCTGGCGACAACAAGACATTAAAAGGCCTTTGGATGTAAAGGCTTTCGAAGGGGAAGAGGTTTACAGTGAATGCTGGCCAAAGGTAGGGAGACAATAACTAATTCCCATCAGATGATTGTTTCCTCTTCAGTGAGCATTGTGGAGAGGAAAATGGAAGAAACCTAGAGTCACACAACACACAGTCAACCTGTGGAACTCTTTGCCAGAGGATGTCATGAAGGCCAAGACTATAACAGGGTTAAAAAAAGAGCTAGATAAGTTCATGGAGGATAGGTCCATCAATGGCTATTAGCCAAATTGGGCAGGGATGGTGTCCCTAGCCTCTGTTTGCCAGAAGGTGGGAATGGGCAACAGGAGATGGATCACTTGATGATTACCTGTTCTGTTCATTCCCTCTGAAGCACCTGGCATTGGCCACTGTCGGAAGACAGGATACTGGGCTAGATGGACTATTGGTCTGACCCAGTATAGCCGTTCTTATGCTTTTAGCAACTGCCTGGTTTTAATCTAGATTACTTCTAATCAGATTCTGCAAGTAGCTCTTTCTTATTTACTAGTAAATGTTTGTCAACAAGTTGCATTTCTGAACAGATTGTTCTTGGGGTGGGATTTCCCAGCTAATGTTAGCCCCTTTGATATAATTGTTTCGTCCAATAAAAGAGGACGCAGTATCTTCCACATCTCTTTCTATTATTCTTCTTAGATTGGGCTAGAATTTGGTTGCCTAGTAGATATCTGTTCACCCTCCTTGCCTTTTTTATTTGCTATTCAGAGACCAAAAAATGTCCACAAAATTCCAGATTTTTTCAAGTATACTGTATTTTTATAAAGAAATGGATTGCTGATTAACTAAAGCTTTGTAGTGTTTGCTGTTGAATTTTTATCAGTGAATCAGTAACAAGGGCCTTAAAGAAATTTCGTTTGGTGTTGTGTATTTTATATCATAATGTAATCTGAAAAGTAACTGTAAAAATGGTAGTTCAGGGTTCCATTTTTAATCTAATTGATTTTCCATGTCACACAGGAGAGGGAGACAGAAGCCTGAGTACTGATTCCAGCTCTGGCACTCACTCTCTCCCATTGTGGCTTTGGGCGGTTTCCTTAATCTGCATGCCTGTTTTCCAGTCTATAAAAGAGTAAGGGCTAGTCTACACTGGCAGCGCTTTAACATGCCTTGTGTGGTCGCAGTGCAACGCTGAGAGAGAGCTCTCCCAGCACTCTAAAAAAACACTTCAAAGAGGGGCGTAGCTCCCAGCGCTGGGGCACTGTTTACACTGGCACTTTACAGCCCTGCAACTTGCTGCGCTCAGAGGGGTGTTTTTTCACACCCCTGAGCAAGAAAGTTGCAGTGCTGTTAATTGCCAGTGTAGACAAGCCCTAATTCTCATGCACCTCAAAGAGGTGTTATGAGGATGTTAATGGGCAGTCTTCATCCCTGATATCATCCACGGAAGTCAGCTTTGTGAAGCTTTGCCATTGTTGGTAAAGCACTTGGAAGATTAAAGAAAAGCTTTAATTTTAAACTCAAAAGGTGATTTATCGAACTGCCAGTCCTGCAAACACAGCCTGAGATCTTTAAAGTCAAGTTGCCTGTTAAATCATTATCAATAATAATTGTTTCTGCAATCAGAATTTAGTGGACTCTTTTGTCAATAATGCATGAGTCAATACAGAATCCAGCTCACTCTCCCATAGCTTTGGTGGCTTTGTGATGTGCTAACAGTAGTAAAAACTGTTTTGTCGTTTAAAGTAAGCAGGTAGGACATAAAGAAACACCAGCAGCAAATATTTTCAGAAGGGTATCCTTTTTATATTTCAGTCAGTTTTCTGTCCAAAACTGTACTTTACATTTAATAGGTTTTTTTTCCTTCTAATTAACTATCAATCTTACAGCAGATTGCTGGTCTTGATTTTGATGTATGAGAACCAACTGGTGTAGTGTAAATTCAAGTGTGCTCCTTTGTTTTGATTTTATATTTAATTTAGACCTGGCTAGCCTCAGACTGTCCTTCGCTTAGAATTGTATCTGTGGAGTATGACACCCACCTGAGTGATTGGAAAACAAAGTGCCCTATTGAGGACCACAGGTAACAAATGAAGTGCATGTAATTTGGGGAGGAGAGAAAAAGCTATACTATTGACATATAGGATCCTATAGTCAGGAGCAGGTGATCTTATTTTTCGTCATGTGCTGCTGTGGAGGAGATTTTGGTTTGGAGAAACCTCTTACCACGTGTTCCTCAGCAAAAGTGTGCACACTTGATTTCCCTATTGCCTGAGTAGGTGCTTGTGGTGTCTCTCTAAATTCTTGTGGTTCATTCAGCTTTGCATTAAAGAGAAATGTGTGAAGAACTCTAGAGACTGGCCTGAATAGATTCTTTGTGGGGTGGGGGATTTCTTAACTTCAGACAAACAATTCTCCAAATGCACTACAAAACAATTTTCAGATTAAGACTTTATATGCCTAGTTTTGGCCTGGAGATCACTTTTATTCAAGAGTTATAAATCCCTGAAAAGAGAGAGAGACTATTCTGTGGCAGATAAAATATAGTAGCTGTATAATAGTTTTGGACAGGAAGTAAAGGAGACCATATTCAGCTGAAACTAAAGTTGGTATTTGTCAGGACATGTTTGCCAAAAGTGTTGTGAGATCTTTATTGACCACAAGTAATGAGAATTTCTGTTATACGTCTCATTTGAACAACAGCACCTCCAACTCAACAGGGTTTTCTAAAAGAAAAAATAGTAGAACAGACTAGGGGTATGTTCCAAAGCCCATTGAAGTCAACAGGAGTCTCTCCATTGACTTTAATGAACTTTGGAGAAAGCCCTAGGTCTCAATCCTATAAACATTTATGTATGAGCTCAGTTTGAAGCAGGTGAGTAGTCTCAAGGATATGACTAGGGGACTACTCCTGTGCTTAAAATGAAGTGTTTACCGGATCGGGGTCCAAAGGATTTATATTCCATAGTAGGGGAAAACTTTCATCACAGCATAGAAAATTAGGAGGCACAATTCTTATTGCTTTCTCTCCCCACTCCTTGTTCCTTCTATTTCTTGGTATTTAGCAAATTGGTACAATTATTCCAATAAAGGAAGCATATGTAATCCACTCCATTAGGGAAACAATAACAATCTCACGCACTTCTTTGAAATTAGTAGAAACAAAACAGTTTAATAACAGCAAAAATACTTGTAGACAGGTAATTCTGTTTCTTACTGTGTCCAACCAGAGTTATGGAAGTGGAAAGGAGTTAGAAAAAGGAAAAAATAGATTTCTCAATGTGTATTATAGTAATTTTTGTCCTCAGAATAAAGATCACCTGAGCATACTGTATTTGGTCATTTTGCAGTTCCATATGGCTGCTGAAAAAGGAAAAGTATGAAGGAGGATTTCTTAAGAGTATCAAGAAAGATGTAGCAGTAGAATCATAACCCTTGCATTATTATTCATAGATATGCTAGCTGGCCTTTTAAAAGTGAGCTTATAGTGCTGTCATTTAAAGTGTCACGGACGCGTGGGACAACAGTTAGAGTCCCCATGGAGCTGTGAAATCCCACATGCCATGCTGGACTTGATTCTCAGAAGGAGCCAATCTCTGCAGCTGTCTTAAAGATTTAGTTCAGTTGAAAAGCCACATTTGAATCTCTTTTCACAGGTACTATAGCAGAGTGATCTTTAACATCCATTCTGAGAATTGACTGTACAAGGCTTTCCAAATGTGGCTGTTTAGATCTTTGCACTGTAATATAGCAATATCCTGATATTTCTGCTGCTCATTTAATTCTCCGAGTTCTCATCTTGTCCTGTGGTCCTCTATGTTCAACTTTACTTCTGCTGTGAGGAAGGGAGGTGATATGCTTTAAAGCATGGGACTGGGAATCAGTAGATGTTCCTGCTCTGCTACAGATTGGTTGACCTTCGGCAAGTCATTTACCTTTTCTGTACCTCAACTTCTCCATCTTCAAAATGGAGAAGATTATGCTTTACCACTCTTTTAACTCTGAGATTATTGGCTGGAAAGTGTAATAGAAGAACAAAGTATCAATAGGTATTATTTTAGAAATTATAGGTAGATCAGAACTTATTTGTTCAGAGCCCAGGTTTCAGCTTTAGCATTATCAGTGCATTGCTGCATACTTTAAGCACAATTTAGCAAAGTATTTGCTTGTCAGACACTGTTTGCTTCACAAGAGAATAGAATTCATTACACTCTGATGCTTTGAAAAGAAAAATATTTTTATATGAAAACCAAGCTGTTTAAAATCCCAAAGCATAACGAGACATTTAGAGCTAATCCTAAATCCCAACACTAAAGGAAAACTCCAGTGCTTCTAGAAAATATTCGTTATCTCTGTCCCTGAGCTCCTATTGTTCCTAGTGGCCCCAGTCCTACAAGGTGTTCAGTGTCCTCAGTTCCCAATGAAGATGGTAATAGCTGATTGTGTTCAGTAAGTTGCATGATCAGGTCCAACATGAGTTATCTACCTAATTCCCTTTTCATAGTATTGATGTACTGAAACTCCACTCCAGCATGAGACTGCCCTTTAATATGTTTGCCTTCCGCCTTGCATCTCTCTTTTTCTTCTGCAGGAAATCTATTGCTTATAGGAGCAATGAGCTTCTTAACAAGCTTAGAGCTGCTGGTGTTGGAGACAGACCTCTGGTATGGGTATCACATAGCATGGGGGGTAAGTACTTTGCTTATGCTGTACAGATCAGCTATGTATTATCGGCCATTATGCTTTAAAATGAGTAGCTAAATTAGCCTGAACAACCACATTTCAGATCAAACTCGATCACCCCAAAAGTTTGCAAAATGTGGTCTGAAAATATAAAACTGATGTTTTACTTGATTAACTATACTGCATTGCATAAACAATTTATTAATGAACTATATTGTTATCTCTTTGTACTATGTTGGGGAAGGGCACAGAATCAATGAATGATTTAGCTGAGATTGTAAGGAAGGTCATGTAATTGGGAACCTGTAGGCTAAATTGTCTCCTTGTTGGATCTTTAGTGAACATCACTGGTAGAGTTTAAAGGAAACCAAGTAAGTTTGGAATATTGGATTTGACACCAAATAGTAACAGTTTACATTTCCTGCCTCATTATAGTTTTCTACTTTTACATATTTTTCAGAGTAGACCTAATTAGTTGAGGAAAGAATATGATGGTCTGATTTGTATGTATTGTAATATGAACATTATTCTCTGTTATTTAGTTCCCTGCATAAATTAATATTTTGTTGCCAGGTCTTCTAGTTAAAAAGATGTTGGTGGATGCTTCAAAGAACCCAGAAATGGATAAAATTGTAAACAACACCCGAGGAATCATATTTTATAGTGTACCTCACCATGGCTCCCAGCTGGCTGAATACTCAATGAATGCTAGATATCTTCTCTTTCCTTCTGTGGAGGTTAAGGAACTCAGCACAGGTATTCTCACTTTGTAGCCACTTAGCATAGGACTTTATCTGTTTATGATTTTTGTCACTCCATCTGAAAATGCAAGATAAAAACAACAAAAACCTTTTTTTAAATCTTTCTAAGGCTGTCAGTTAAAATGACAGAATAACTTCTGTACTTAACTGTTTGTAGAAGAGGCTAAAGCTGTGGGCAAGTTTACAGAATAGTCTCAGCCGTTCAGAACTGTAATGTATGTGACTCCTCTGTAGCATACCTTGTAATCAAATCTCAGGCAATGTAGGATTAAATGACAAAGTTAGCGTGGCATATTCGAGGCTGCTGTCAAACCCCTGAAAACAGGGTCTTACAATGGATGTGCTGCTGTTTTTACTGGAGTTATAATTTTGCCAAAATATTTCTTACAAGATAAAATATTGCAGATCAGTTTTTATTTTCTGAAAATGAGTTAACACAATTTATACAATATACAGTATTTCTTTTTTTCCTTCTTCAGATTCTCCTGCCCTTAAAGAACTAAATGATGATTTTCTTTCATTTGCCAAGGATAAGAAATTTCCAGTCTTGAGTTTTGCAGAAACCTTACCAACGCATATAGGTAGCATGATAAAACTTCATGTGGTACCTGTGGACTCAGCCAGTATGTCAATTATCTATTTACTTTTTTGCATATTGATTAGGGGATAGGCAATGCAGATACTGTAATAGAAATATCTGGAAAGATAAATAAATAGGGGATATTGTATGAAAAACCGTTGATGGTTCCTTTTGTTTAAACTTTTGACCAGATTTTGATCTTGGATACATTTCTAAGTACAAACATGTAACCCTCCTATTGAAATCAGTGAGAACGCAGTGCATATCTGAGCATATTACTTATAGAGCAGTGTGGCAAAGGTTGTTCTTATACATCTAACAGGGTCTTCTCCTTTTTTAAAGGTGGGAGAAATCACTGCACTCAAGCTCTTACAGTAGAGACCTGAGGGTGTTCACATGGCCAACGTTCCCCATTTGGTTCAATGCTCAGTCTCTCACACAAACCCACTACACTACTATAGCATCCTTTTGGATGACCAAATACGGAAAACTTCAGGCAAAACAAAGAATTGCTCAGAAAGTTGTTAACATAATGCATATGGGATTAGAATAGAAGACTCAGCATAACCTTAACTAGAATTTTCACTAAAGTGATCAGGATTAGCTATCAGGAATACTTAAACACCATGACTAGTCTCGGTGTAACTAAATTTGCTGGGAGTAGAGCACCTTTATTATACACTTAAGTGATGGGTTTTCCCTTTCTTGGGGAAACTCTTTATACTGTATTCCATGTTTGATGTCCAATCCAGCCCAGTTTTAAATTCTAAAATCACAGTTTTTATAAAAGAGTTCATTTAATTATAGATGAATTTAATTATAAGTAAAAACCTTCTGCAGTCTTTTAGACTTCTTCAAAATGCAGATAGTTTGACTTCAATTGGAACAGGATTTAACCCAACGACAAAACTCTCATTGAGTTTAATAGGCAGGATTTCAACCTTTGACATTAAATGATTTGTGCAGTAGAGAAAGCATATGTTTGTAATGTTCTCCTTATTGAGTAAGCTGGGTACTGGTGACTAAATCAATAAGGGAAAATTATATGGGAAGGAATTAGTTTTCTAAAGCCCTGATCCTGCAAAGGGATCCGTATGGGCAGACACTTACATATTTGTGGAATCCCATTGAAGTCAGTGGAACTCTGCTGGGCCTAAGGGTCTGTCCAAGTGGATCCCTTTGTAGAATCAGTCTAAAGCTGCATTTATTTATGCAATATGTCATTGTGTTGGATAATGCTTTCAGCACATTTAAAAACAACCTAGTGTAAGACAAAATGAATAAATAACAGCTATGGAGGGGTTGGTTTTGGGTGACTTTAATTGTTAATGCAAGAGCTTTTTCTTAATCTACACTGTTTTGTTTTTTTTCCTCCTCCAGATTTAGGCATAGGAGACCTAATTCCAGTGGAGGTTAATCATCTGAATATTTGCAAGCCAAAGAAAAAAGATACTTTTCTATACCAATGTACTGTAAAGTTTATTCAAGATGCTTTAGCAAGAGAACTGAGAAGTTGAGTCTTTACCATCCTTGCTTGCTTCTCTCTCCCATTTGGTGTAATGCAACAAAGTCTTTCCACTAAAACTGTTGGCAGGCCTCCAGAACTACAGACACGATATTAATAAAATCAGCTGTCCAAGTGGCTTTGAATATATCTTCTGCTTGGAAATCTACATTGTCTACGTCTGAAATGCATTCAACATATATACAAACAACCACAGCCCCAGAAATCTGGCAATAAAAGGTGAAAGTCTGATGTGATTCACTTTGACTTATTGACTACATGTATGTAATTCCTCTGCTGATTTGACCAGTAGGCAATGGGAATGCAGTGGAGGAAAGGCTTCAGGTATCCTGTAGCTACTCTTCTGGAGCAGCATGGATGGGCTATGAAGGGTGTCCCATGGTTCACTTCTTAGCCAAGAAAGGTTGCTGTGATTGAGATGAATGTACATATGGTATACTAAGGACCAAAAACAATAAACCCAGATGATGATCTGTTTCTATAATAACGTAGAGAAACAAATGGCTGTCTCAAAGTACACATCTGCTATCCATGTTTGGGAGTTTGAAACCTATTAAGAACATATGTGAATGATTCAAGATATTGTTTTGATTGGACCAGTTTATGCTGCTTGCCTTTCTGTTTAATAGGCCCAGACATTCTTCTAGTTTAATTCACTTTTTACCAGTTGGCATCAATTGATAACAAGCACAGGAAACAGAGTGCTGTGTGAGAAAGAGAAGCATCACCTAATCTTTTGATCTCTGGTATGGCATCCTATGTAAAGGAGACAGTGACAGTTTAATTTAGTTTTAAACAAAAAGATAAATACATTCTTGTGCTGTTCCATTTTAATTCTGTCAGCGTTGGGCTTCAAGATCATAGGAAAAGAACACTAGTGTGAGAAGTTTTTGACCTAGTTCTCTGCTCTGTCATACATGAGATCTGGGTTGGGGACTTTTATGCTGATTTCTTGCTGCCTACTTTGGGAGTGCTGAAAAGGCAGCACACTTAACTCTTGGCCGGAGTGGCACCTGTTGCCCAATAGGAAGCTCTCAGCTGATTTAAGAATGGTGTTGATGAGGCTCAAATAGAGGGAAACTTGTGTAGTCCTTCACAAGAAAGATGGTGGCTGTGATATGAGGCTTTGGAATTTGCAGGGGAGGGGGCAGGAGGCTAAGGCAGAAAACATAAAGGAGTTCCCAGGGCTCCATCAGAGCATTTTATATTTGTGGGGGCCTAAATTAACTTATTGCTGTACATGGAGGAAAAACAGCAACAGTTTCTTAAATAATTATGTGGAGTGTTTCACTGTATTTTTTTTTATTATTATTTTTGCTAAAGCCCAGTATGATCTGGTTAACAGCATCGATGAGAGAGAAATATTTTGTAGAACAAGGGTAGCAGTGTTCAGCACCTTTCTTAAAGCCTTAAATGATTCCGAACCTAATTAAGAGCAGCTTAGTTATGGGCTTGATTTAGCAAAGGACTAATACTGATCTAGTGGCCAAGAAATGGTGAGGACCACAGCCACAGAATCCCTGATAGACTGTCTAGCCTTCACTGTCACCCGAGCAAATCACCTTAATAGTCCTGGATTTTCCTAGCTAGCCATTTATCACCTAAGGCCTTTGTTGATGATGATAGGGGAACCACTGGAAACTGTTTCAGGACTTCTTAATATGATTGTACAACGATGATGGTAAAAAGCACAATAAGATGATATGAAGCTCAGAAGTCCCATAGTAGCTTGTATTAGTATGAGTGTATTGGTGGTGGTTTAGAATACCGAGATCACCCCTACTAGTCCAACCCTAGAGCACTCTCCTGTAGGATGACCAGTTTTGGGAAATACAGAACCCAGAGCAGTACTGAAGGCCAGGCATGCTTTCTTTTGGATCAAACCACATGTAAGAATTTTGGCTGCCACTATTTCAGACTGAAAATATAATTTGGGACTGAGTGGAACAGGGTGTATGGAATTTATCAGGATACACAGGGTTTTGGATAAGCTGAGAACTTTGCATTGTAAAACATGCAAATAGGGGGAACCATTTTTGAGTAAAAAGACATTTTTTGGCTAACGGAGTCAGATCAACCAGAGTCTTTTGTAATGCCTTGTACAATAAATCTGTCTGTATGAGCTACAGTAACTGGAATTCTTGAAACAAATTTCAATTTTTTGCAACTAACAAATGTATTAATGTGTAACTTTAAATTAATATGTGTAACTTTTTGTGTTTGGGAGATAGTAATGAAATATGTTTTTTTTAAATTTGTACTATATCTCTTGAAAAAATATATTAAACTTGAATAATCTGCTAAATGGAATGTATTGATATTACCATATTGCATGCCAATCCAAAACTGTGACCATAGTTTTCAGCAGGACTCACCGCACCTGTGTCCTTTACCCAACAAACCTACTACACTTTCCAGCTGATGGTAATGTAACTGCAGATCTATGGATAGTTAGCAAATATTGTTAACCACTTGCTGACTACCTGATGATTCCTCTTCCTTCTACAAAAATTCTTCATTTTGATGCAAGTTTGGAGCAAATCTTTACTTAGATAAGCCTTTAAACATGCTTCCAGATCACATTCTGAGGAAGCAACTTGGGTTTTTTATCTAGTTTAGATGGAATTATTTGTTTTATGCCATTATGATTCTTCTTTACATTTAGTTAGTAATTTCAAAATTACTTGAGAGGTGGGCACACTATTGGCACTGTGGGCTCTTCCAGGCCTCTTGACTTCTACAGCTTTGGAGCTGAGGTTGCTACCATCAATGGCCTTGGTACCAATGAAAAAGGATGTGCCTTGCTTGGTGCAGTTGCCTGTAGAGCCAGTACCAATATGCCCCTTGTCCTCAGCACTGTCTACATCCCTGACTTCGACACCCGAGATTTCAGAACTCGGGTACCCCTTGGAGTCCACACCAACTCTGTTGTGCTCTTTGGCACCAGTAATGGAAGATTTCCCAGTACTGGCCCCCTTGGTTAGGCCCTCCACTTCTTGGGAGGCTTTTTCAGTACCAGCGATGGTCCTAACCTCAGTATCAACTTTGCTCTTCTCCCATTAGGGCTATTCCGTAGCCACACCTGGAGTGGACACTACCAATTCCCATGGACTGTTCAGAGGTTTCCTCCGACTCCAGTAAGAAGCCTTCCAGCTCATGTCCACCTTGGCAAAATAAATCCTGTAACTCCTCTAAATGCCCAGCAGAGAGAAAGTATCAGCACCAAGATCACAGCCTCACATACAGCAAGGACAGGTCATCTTGGCCTGCATTGTATTGACCTCCTATGATTTTTCTTGCAATGGCCAGCCAGTACATGTAGGATGCATCCCACTTGCATAGGCCTAGGGGTGTCTATAAATACGGAGGAACAAATATTTAATAACGGGCTTTTCAGGCTACCAGAGAACAGTATAACACGATCCCAAAGCTGAACATTGAAGCTGGATGACTTCAGACTGCAAATAAGGTGTAAAATGTTTAACAGTGAACAATTTACCATTGGCACAACTGACCAAGGATCATGGTGCATTCTCCATCGCTGATCATTTTTAAACCAAGCTTGGTTGTTTTTCTAAAAGATCTGCTCTAGGAAATATTTTGAAGATGTTCTGTGCTATGCAGGAGGTCAAACTAGATGATCACAATGGTCCCTTCTGGCCCTGGAAGCTATAAATGATTAAAGGATTGGAAAACACGCCTTGTAGTGAAAGACTGAGAGTTCACTCTAGCTTATCAAAGAGAAAGTTAAGAGATGACTACAGTCTAAGTACCCACATAGGAGGCAGAAATTTGATGATAGAGAGCTCTTTGATTAAGCAGACTAAGGTATAACAATAATTGGAAGTTGAAGTTAAAAACTTCAAGTCTGAATTTGTCTAACAGTGAGGGTGATTATCCATTCGACTAATTTCCCCAGGGGTGTGGTTGATTTTCCATCACTGGAAATCTTTAGATCAATACTAGATGTTTATTTTTTTCAAAAGATGTGCTCTAATTCAAACAGGCATTAATTCAGGGAAGTCCTGTGTTATGCAAGAGATCAGACTTAGATGGTCACAGTGGTCCCTTCTGGCCTTCGAATCCCGAACTCTGTCCAAGGGGAGATCTCCTAGATGGAACAGCCTTAAGAGTAGAGGATCTGCCTTTCCTTGAAGAGATGCCATTGGCTCCAGCAGTTCTGTCCTTGCCCTCTCTGAATGATTCAGTAGTAGGAAATTCCTCAGTTTTGTCATAGCGGGCTGTCATTATTAGTATACGGTTCTCTGGCTACTCAGCAGCTCCTCATGTGCTCACTAAATGAGTGGCAGTGATGGCAGCCAGGTTTTCCCTTACCTCAAAGATTGGCTTGTTCGGGGATCATCTGAGAACCAGGTTAGTTGCCATGGTCAAGTTCATCATCCACCTTTTCAATCAACCTGTTCCTTCTTGATTTGTTTTGATAGAATAGTATATGCAGTCACTGATTGTATGAAGCTGCTTGCTGGAGGGATTCTAATTTTAACGCGTGGGTCACCACTTGCTTACACAGACAAAAGATATAGTTAGTGCTGAAGGCTACTTAGAAAAGTGGAGTAATTAAACAAGTTGTAGTTGACATGTATAAATCCACTTTAATTGGCTTTCCTGCTAACTCTTTCATCAACATACATTAGCAGTCCCAGGGCTGTTAAATTATCTGTGTTGCACAGAATGTTGGATACGGTACTAAACATATTTTATTTTTTTACAGCCCTTAATGATTTATGCTGAAATGTATCCATAAAAAGCCACTGTTGCCCCCCCCCCCCTTTTTTTTTAAAGGAGACCAGGAGGTTGTGATGAACCAGGAAACTAAGTAGCCAGCCCCTTCAGAGTGGCTCACCTTTGTGGAACTGAACACTTTAAAACTGTCTCTGGCCTCTTTATTACTGAAGAAATGTGCATGGCGTGGGAGAGCGAAGAGCTCAGCTATAAAGGCAGCATTGCTTGTATATAGAATGTCTTTTTTTTGGTTAGAGTTCAGCAGTAGAGATAAGGTGGCTTGAGCAAGGCTGGATAGTAATAGAACTGAACTGGCTGACGTCCCAAATTACCTAGGCAAGTGAGAAGAGAATTAAACCAATTTAAGATTTATAGAAAAGGCGTTTAATTGACATTATTTACAACCTCAGCACAAAAAAAGTCTAGTTTAAATACAAGACCCTGGATTTTCACCTTTACCAATTGCTTAAAAATGTTCGCATAATTTTAGTAATTCTCTATCCAAAAAGGGGCTTCATTCCATTGATAAGTTATTGTGCCTGAACTGAAACACGCGTGTAAAAACTTTTAATTGCCTGCTTTCCACAGACAATGTAAATGCTTCACAAATTTACCACAGGTAATGTTTAATTAGCGCACACTAACAGGCCTCATTAGAAATCCAGGCTATCTTCCCTTTAGCTAAATCTTAGGCATTTGAAAAGCATAAACGCCAAAGTGGTTGGCAAATGCAGAGGTGACTTTGCTATGATGGCCTGTTCTAACTTGACATCAGCTGTAGCATTTTGTGAGAATTGCATGTTAACTGCACTATAGTTCCACTAGAAACACTGGCCCTGTAGCTTATGATGTCCTACCAGAGCGCTAGGTAAATATAAGGAGGAAAGTAAAGCAGCAGTTGCAGGACTATTTGTTTGAAGAGTATCTAGGGAAGGTCCCTGGCTGTTCAAAATACTTTCCCCAGACTATTATATCTGAAACATGGACCATGATATTGTATCTTTAGGCATTAAACCTTCCAAGTGTTTGCAAAGACTTGGACTCAGCTTTAGCTTATTTCTATACATTTTACTTACCCTAATCTCAGATGCAGTGTTGGTATAGCTGCAACCCACTGATACTGGTCTGTGCTGTAACACAGCACCCATCACTGTCATATCAGTATTTTCCTTCAGAGTTGATCCTAACAAGCAGAGGACCACGGCGAATTCTGTATTTAATTTGACAAAACTCTTTCATGCTCTTGGAATTAGTTAGTTTTACAGCCTATCTTTTACAAAACAGTTGCATATAAGTAATAGTGTTTTCTTAAAGGTATTTTTGCTACCCGTCTTCCCCCTCCCACTGAAATCTCAATGTCCTTTAATTCGACTCATTGCCTCAGTAATCTGACATTATCTGGGGAGACAAGTCTGCATCGAGCATTCCACTTCCAAGTTTGCTCCTAGCCTTATTTTCTGGTTTCCTCTCACTTCCCCTTTAGTAGCTCCCTTAAATAAAAAGTTAACGGTCTCTCTTTACCATTTTCTTAATGGAATATAATTCTTGACAAATGGTGCTGTCACACAGTTTCTCAGATTTGCCTGTCCCTGATGTAGGTGCTAAAGGTTCATTTCCAAATGGCAGATAGTGCTTTAATTGCCTACACCTGCTAAATTGAGTACAAGTGTTCAGCACAGGTGAATAGGGAAGGTGCACCTGTATGCTCTCCAGGGGACAGCATACACCTTTACCATCAGTGGGTAGAAATTAGTAAACCACCTTTCCACTCTAGGGCTAGATTCTGCTACTCTTGCTCATGCTGAATACTGCCGGACCAGTGTAGCACTCATGTAAACATACAGACAGCCCTTTGCTCATCCTCATTTATTATTTCATTAGTAGCTAAGCATGAACATGTTATTTCCTTGTAAAGAAACAGAGGGGCGCAAAGGTAGGAGTAGTGGTCAAACATTTAGTGTACTTTCACAGGAGTCTATCAGTGACTATACATACAGTACACAGACAATTGGAATGTTTACTAGCAGGTTGCCTGCACAGTCCCTTCCAAAGTTATAGACAGTCATTGTCCATGTGCCTTTTCACTGGATAGCAAGTCATTTAGCATTAGGTTGCATTGAACAGAATCAGTTAAATCTGAACGTAGAGGAGAGGATGCATTGAAAGAAAACATGAGCTTCTAGAATAATTTTCATAAGTATCATTATTAGTATCACACACGCTGATAAGGAACCCATCATATCTGTGTGCATTTGCATGGTTGAGATTAAAAACAAGCATGTTCATCAAAATAGAGAGCACCCAATCCATAACATCCTCCACCCCACATCTCTTCACCCCTCTTACTTAACAATAATGGCCAAGGATTGAGGAATTTAGCCAGCAGGCTAATACCAGGAGAGTATAGAACCTGCAGCTAGTTGTAAATCACATGAAAGAGATGCAGCATAGGACTTGTCTACAGCATATTTACCATCAGCATTATAGTGGTGTAATTATACTGCTAAAGTTATTCCAGGATAATTCCCCCTGGGGACACTATTCCCTCCGAATTAGTGTAGT